TTTTTTAACTGCATTTTCCAATCTTAGGGGAATTCAAGAGATTCCTCTCCACCTCCAACTCACACCATCAGTCTAAGGAGCAGCCTCCAGAACTGGTGGAGTCTGCAGACCCTGACAGAGGTATTTCCTGCCTGCCAGTCAAGACCACCCTTTATCCAGACTGCATTGCTATTCCTCAAAGGCTATTTATGACTACTAATCCTAAACTATCATCAAAAAGTAGTTTGCCTGGCCAAGCATGGCTCAGCAGTTGAGCATCAACCTAGGATTCAGGGGATCATGGTTCAATTCCTGGTCAGGGCACATGCCCAGGTTGTGGGCTCGATCCCCAGTTAGGGGTGGGTGGGTGCAGGAGGTGGCCGACCAATGACAACTCTCTCATCATTGTTTCTCTCTCTCTCTCCCTCCTTCTCCCTTCCTCTCTGAAATCAATAAAGATATATTAAAAAAAAAAAAAGCAGTTTATAGGTTTGGATGAATATGCCTATTTTCAAAGTTTCAAAACATATTTGGTTTTTCCTATAAATTTTGAGAAGATTACTATTACACATAAGCTCTGTAAGAGAAAAGTAGACTTTTAGTCTTTAAAAGGTGAAGCAAAATAGCCTATAATTACATGTAACAAAATTAAAAAATCATTTTATTCACAAAATAATAAAGGTGGCTAAATATACATCATTATATGATTTTAGTACTCCTGCCTGGATGATATCATGAAACTGTTTCTGGTGTGGGTATGTACATATGGATATATAGGAATAATAAAAAAAAAACTTATATAAACATGCACAGAACTGACATACAGATCAATAAGTATAATTATGAACATTTTTATAACCTAAGTTGTAATGTAGGAGCATTCCAGGAAGTGTTTCCTAGATGTACAAAAGGAAATCTTATTCTATATGAATCGTGTTTCCTTCACCAATTCCCCAAATAAAAACTGATATAACCATGTTATAAATATTCCTTTGCTTTTCTTCCCACTCAGCTTCTCCAAAATTTACACATGTCTGGAATTTAAGTGAAAACTTTATACTACGAGAAATGAGCCTGATCCTACTCTACAACCTAAAACAGGGGCGGGGAACATCCAGCCCAAGGGCTGCATAGGGCCCGAAAAATCATTTGGTCTGGCCCTGCCAAGGCAACCATAGGCAGTATTCAAAATTCAATAAAACTAGGAGCTTTATTTCACAGCTAATTTTTAAATTGATAATTTTGTATGGCCCACGAATAATGTTATAAATACCCAAATGGCTCTTGGAAGAAAAAAGGTTCCCCACCCCTGACCTAAAAGGAAACATGTTAGGACAAGTCATAACAACTTCCATTCATTTGCATACGTTCTAGATGTTAGATGTCAAAAGAATGAAAATTTATTCAGATTTTACTCATTTAAAAATGTATTTGATTTTTTTAAAATATATCTTTATTGATTTCAGGGAGAGGGAGAGGGAGAGAGAAAGTTGAAACATCAAAGATGAGAGAGTCATTGATCAGCTGCCTCGTGCACGCCCCCGGCTGGGGATCGAGCCCGCAACTGGGCATGTGCCCTGACGGAATCTCACCGCGATCTCCTGAATCCTAGGTCAATGCTCAACTGCCAAGCCACACCTGGCTGGGCATTTGATTCTTTAAAAACAAAATTAAGCTCAGATTAACTATTCTAAACTAATCTCTATATATTAATGATCCTTATAAAGTTATTAAAAATCCATGAGCTATAGGATTGTCAAATAAGTCAGTATATTATAGACTCTATGGTTTACACGCCTTATGATAAATAAATACAAGTGTTTTAAATTGTTGCGACTACATGTACAGTGCCAGCAGTTTTCAGTATGAATTTGGCATTGCCTTTTTAAAAGAATTATATCTGAATTCTAAGTTTTATGGTGCTGTTCTATAAAGAGAGACAAGAATAGCTATACTATATTCTTTATTCTTAGAAGTAATAAAGCAAGCATAGATTAAAAATCCATGAGCCAGTATGTAATTAAAAATTAAGATGAACTTCTCAGCACATTTAGACTATTTTAGAATAATGAGTTATTTACTAATATTTCCTTTTCAGTATTTTTTTAAAAATCTAAAAAATGTTATTAAGTGTTCAAAAACCACTTTTAAAATATCACAAAAGTAGCTGTTACTTTACCCAGACTTTGTATATCCTCTTTGTCAGTATCACAATCACTCATATCTCTGCCCTGCAAATGATATCATCACCCTCAGAGTTCAAGAAGACTAAGAAAATAAAATTATTAAGTGGATTATATTTGCTTCCTATTTGGAATTGCTTTTTACCTAAGTAACTTAAATTGATGAAGCACTGGCCACCAACTGTACAACCAGTAAGATTTGGATGTCCTGCTCTGGTATTTTAATGTGATAAATATTTTGTGATAAAACAATTTTCTACTGATGCAAACTTGGCACTGTAATTTTCATTTTTTTACAATTCCTAATTTGCTACTAAAATCAGTCTTCCTTATGTTTTTGAATATTTTCCTCAACTTTGCTATCATACTTTTTGTTCTTACGCTATTAGTTTTCTGTTTAGTTATGCTCTTATAATAAAATCAGTTACAACAGCTACTTCATCATGCAGAATACTTTCAGCTGTTCTTCCATATTGTTTTCCTCAAGAAGAAAATTCATCTCTGCCATTAAACTTCTAGCTTCTGACTGGAAAACTCTCCAAACTCTCTGAAAAACACATGTATCTTCCCGCCACTTGCATGATCTATCGTTAAACCAAGTACCAGCACAGGCTACAGTCACCAAGCCCATCTGAAGCGTTTGGCAACTTGTTTTGAAAATGAACTGTTCACATGGGTTTGCTGGCATTGTCACCATTGCTTTGAAGAGCAAGGGAGCTTCCAATCCCTCAGCTCAACAACAAATAAGGCTGGAGGAAGAGCAGCTTTAAGCTAGAAGAAGCTAGCAGTCCTAGGGAGTGCTACTGGGCCTCCGCAAGCAGAAAGAGTTCAAGTGCTCACAATGTTTAATCATGAGACTTTGCTACATTTATAGGAATTTATCAAAATACTTAAGAATTTTTATTAGGTTTGTACACCAAGCGTATGGGTTCTTTTTCACCATTAATAGCTAAAGATAAATTTTAATGTTTATTATTATAAAAGAGTCACTACAATCCTGTGGTAAAATACTCTTATTTTCTTTATGGTCAATGGCAAAAATTAAAAGGTTTCTCCAAGAATTACACACTAATCCCTAATTAAACATACAGTTATCTCACCGCAGACACACTGAAACACCACAATTTCTAAGACAAAATGGGAAGAGGAATCTGATAGACTACTGCAAAGATGTTTCTGACCTAAGAAAAAAGCAATCATACTGCTCCACCGATACTGATTCGAAGAAACTCAATCTGTTATAGAATGAGAATACCATACTTATTTTTAAATTTAAAAAAAAGTTACCCTCATATACTAGCCTACTGACCTCTATAAGTAAATAATAACTAGTTAATTTTTGCACTCCCAGAAAAAAAATAAGTTTATTACTGTGGGCCTGTAATTTTATCCTTAGGGCCCATGAGATAAGATTCTGTTACACCTCAAAAAATAATATAGAACTTCTTATATCCATATAAATTCCCTTAAAAAAGAGAAGTCCCACTGGTTTCCAAGCTATACTAAATAGCATTAAAAGGAGGTTTGTCTGGTATATTATTCATCTGGCAATAGTAATGATGACTTACAAAATGAGAAAGTTATAGAAATAATAAACATATGATGAGATGTCTACCTGTTTCCACATTCTCGGTCTCAACTTCTTGTTCTTCTGCCACATCTTGCATCATATAAGTCTCATCATCATAAACCAGAACCTGGGCTGCATAGCCCTGCTCTAATCTGGCACTTGGTACAGGCTCCACAATCACTGCTGGATATTCAGAAACCTTTTCACTTTCCTACAAGAGCAAATTTAAAAAACAATCAACCTTTTTATTCACAAATGCCGGGTTTACTTATAAACTCTTGAGTTCATAGCGTCTCAAGGAGTCCACACAATGAGTTTCATGTATTATAAATATGAATGTAAAAACCAAAACAAGAGATGGAGAGGGCTAACTTTAATGATCTGTTCAAGTCTTAAGAGGGGAGACACAGACTAAACATTTTAAATAATCAGGGCTTTAGGATTAAGATGGCAAATTAAAAACATGCATATAATTTTATTCTCATGAAAGCAGTAAAAGAAGCAGTAAGGAGAAGAGATAAAAGCTACAAAGGAGAAGAGATAAGGGTAGCAAAACCTTGGAAGACTGAAAGTGGATGGGTGAATGTTAGTAAGTGGTCTAGCGGACCCAGGAAAGCCAAATCAGAGCGTGGCAGCAGAGCCAGTTGAGAAAGAGCACAGGACACTGGAGGATCCACAGAAGGCAATCCCAGTGACTTCTGGAAATGGAGCAGCAGCACGTGGGAGAGAGAGGAGGCGGTTCAGACAAGGAAGATCCCATTAAACCTGTTTGAAAAGCACTTTGATTCCTAGACTCGCTCCCTCCTCCATGATGCTAGGCAACCAGCCCTCCCCACCTCAGCAGAGGATTGCAGAGGGAGAAACAAGAGCATCTCTGAGGTCTATTAGGCACATTTGCTAGTATCAGTACTGTACCAAAAACAGTTTCCAATCTGCTTTTTAGTCCTCACCTTTAAATCATGAGCAGACTGCCAAGTATTACTAGTTATCTAAGACAGAATATATACATACATGCACACATATATATTCATATTCCTCACAGAGATAAGATATTATATCCATAAAACAAGAACAGAAAACAAAAATGACAATAAAAAAGAGTTCTTAAAAATTAAAAACACGATAGCTAAAATGAAAAGACAGAGGATCAGATGATAACATTGAGGCAGTCTTCCAAGAACCAGAGAAAAAAGATAAAGCAATGTAAAGTTAGGAGAGAGAAGAGAACAGCATTAGGGGACAGTCCAGGAGGTCTAATACCTGAATAACAGGAATTACAGAAAAAAGAAAATGGAGAGGGAGGGGGAGGTTGGAAAGGAATCAAAGAATTCTAGAAATTTTTCTATAGCTGAAGGACCTAAGCTGTCCATTTGAAAGGACCTACCAAGGGCTTAGTATAAAAAATTAAGGGAGACCTACGCTGAGGCACACCATTGTGAAATATTGTAATCCTGGGGGCAAAAAGAAGATTCTACAAGCTTCTAGAAAATATACACGTCACACACAAAGACTCAGGACTCAGTTCAATCTTCTCAACCATAATACTGGAAGGAAGATGACAACAGAGCTGCTTCTTCAAAACTTTAAAGGAAAATTATTTCCAACCTAGAATTCTTCACCCAGTCTAACCATCTTATGAAAGCCGAATAAAGGTTTTCTCAAACATGAATGAGCTCGCATTTACCTTCCCTGCATCCTTTCTCAAGAAGCAGCTAGGAAGTGTTTTCTATCAAAAAAAGAGTAAATTTGTAATTTATTAATCCTCACCTGAGGATATTTTTTTCCATTGATATTTTAGAGAAAGTGGGAGGGGGAGAGAGAGAGAAACATCTATGTGAGAGAGACACATCAATTGGTTGCCTCCCGCACACGCCCTGACAGGGCTGGGGATCGAGCCTGCAACCAAGGTACGTGCCCTTGGCTAGAATCGAACCCGGAATCCTTCAGTCCACAGGCTGATGCTCTAACCACTGAGCAAAACTGGCTAGGACTAAATCTGTAATTTAAAAAAAAAAGATGACTTAGGATACAGAACATAGGGGATCCAATCCGGGAGAGAGATGGTAGTGATCTTCAGGGAGGCCTGTGAAGGGAGGTTTCAGGATGCAGCTGTGCACAGGATTTAAAGGGCAACCAGTTCAGACTATAGCAGTGTGACACCTAAGACAGGATGATAAACTGCCATCTCCAAGATAAACACTGACACTGTTCCTAAGTACAGAACACCCAGATAAGCCTATTCCAGATTTTCGTTCCTATTGAGCTGGCCTTGATGTACCCACTGACCCCACCTTGCCTTGCCACCTGGATCAGCTGAGAATACTCTTTTCACTTCCCAGTGTGTTCTGCTTTGATACAGTCCTAAGTGCTGAAACAAGACCACAAAGAGGGTAGAAATCAAAACTAAAGAACAGCACTCTTTCCATGCGACCATATACCTGCTGCACGAACATGCAATATAAGGTCCCTACTGAAGCCTGATTCCTGACCAAGATGGCCCTATGTTTCCAATAACTAAGTCGTGACAACGCTTACTGATCGCCTGAGTAGAAGCTCTTGAAAATCAGTGAACCCAATGCCAAACTAGTCAGCCCTTTTCCTGGAAGCCTTCATATAGCTGTGGAAATGCTGTCCTCTCCTAGCATAGTTAGCTTGGTACACTATTCATTTTTTCAAAGTAAACAGTACGTCATTTAGGAATATATACACAGGCAATGATACTATAAAGAAAAGAAATAACATATAAGACAGGATAATGGCACCTCTGGGAACAGACAGGGTAGAATATGGGAGAGGGACATGCTCAGTAAAATACTAGTGATTTCTATTTTTTAACCTGAGTGATAGGTAACATGTATTCTTTCTGTTATTCTTAGGCTGAAACATATATTTTATACACTCTTCATTTTGTATCAAACATTTCATAAAAAATTTTAAATAAATTACAAAACAAAGATACAGCAAATTAAAAAAGAAAGTACATGCTGAATATTAACACTGAATTTCCTACTCTGTATAAGGTAAAATATGAGTCCAACTTTTTACCATTAAAAAATATTCTTTCCCACAAACTGAATATAGTAACAGTCAAATCACCATGCCTCTTGCTCAGCTTTATAACCACAGCCTACAGGCAGCACCACCCAGCTAGAACATAGCTGTTAATGAGAAGCATGGGACAGGTAAAGATAGATGAGGTCTCCATTCATTAGAAACTCAGAAAGCAGCATCATAAGTAGCAGCTGAACTAGTATTAGCCCAAGCAGTGAGTATTTTATTTACGTATAACCCACGGGACTTATAACTTCTTTCATCCCTCTGAAATTGGATAATATATTTAACAGTAACATTAACATGAGATTATTTTATATTGTGAACCACCCATCCCCACCCTACCAGTACAAAATCAGTCAAATTTCCTAAACCATGAAATACTTGAGGATTAGAATTCTGTAGAAGGCCAAAACTCCTTTCCCCACCAATTAGGTTTCTGGACCACTCTTCTCTCTGTTTTGATATTTTAATGGTTCCTTCCATTTAACCATAAAAAGCAAAAATTTTTTTATTAAAATTCAGCCTGGCCAGGTGGCTCTGTTGGTTGGAGCATCATGCCATACACCAAAAGGCTGTGGGTTCAATTCTGGGTCAGGGCACATACCCCAGTTGCAGGTTCAATTCCTGGTCAGGGCATATATGGGAGGCAACGAATCGCTGTTTCTCTCTCCCTCCCTCATCTCTCTCTAAAATCAAACATATCCTTGGGTGAGGATTAAAAAAAAAAATTCTCTCCTTCCTTTCACCTGAACTCCAGATCTCTGCTCCTGATCCCTGTGTACACCTCATAAAGACAGTCTAACACCCTGATTCATTTTCTCTATGTGCCTGTAATCTGGATTCCACCATCTCATTGACACTCTTCACTCAAAATGTCACCAGGGACCAAACTCTACTTCAGTCTTGATCCTCCCTGCCATTCTGCAGACTACACACTGACCACCACCTCATTTAAAAAAATCATCCCTTCTATCTTTTGTCTTCTCTTTCAAGAAACCACTCTACTTTTAAGCGTCTCCTCTGACTCTTCTTCCATCCCCAGGGACTCAAATGTAGCCAATTTGCTACGGTTCTGTCCTCAGCATCTCCTTTCTTCTTACTCTATACTACCATCCCAGGCGAGCCTACCTATTTTCATGGTTTCGAATAACACCTCTATACTGGTGATTATTAAATATCTGCTTTCCACTCTGACCCATCTCCTGAACTCCAGACCCATATTTTAAACTACCAACTTAACATCATTACAGGAATATTCAGCCAATACTTCAAGCGTAACAGGTCTAATTGGGAACAAATGATCCACATCTCTTCCTATTCCCCCACCCTGTGTTTTTCTCTAAACCTCAGTTTCTTATTTAAAAAGGAGATTATAGCCCTAGCTGGTCTGACTCAGTGGTTAGAGCGTCGGCCCACAGACTGAAGGGTCCCGGGTTCAATTCTGGCCAAGGGCACATACCTTGGTTGCAGGCTCGATCCCCGACCCCAGTAGGAGCTCGAACGGGAGGGGAGCAAACAATCAACGTATCTCTCTCACATGGATGTTCCTCACTCACTCTCTCCCTCTCCGCACCCCCCGCCCAAAAAGCAATGGAAAAAATATCCTCGGGTGAGGGCAAAAAAATAATAAAAAATTAAAGAGATTATAATATTCATACTTAAAGTCCCTTGAAAATTAAATATGCACAAATTAGTGACAGCTATTTTACATGGTAACAATAGTATTCAAACATACTATACTTGCCCTCAACTTTGGAGGGCATCTTTTCATATTACAATCAGAATTCTTTGTGCAAAAGCTTTCATGATTCCCCATTGTCTAAAAAGAAAGTTTAACATACTAAACAATGGTTTTTAACATTCTTTGAAATATAACCCTCAATCCACCTATTAAAGGTTGAACTGTGTCCCCCCAAAAAGATGGTGAAGCCCTAACCACCAGTACCTGTAAATCTGAGCTTATTTGAAAATAGGGTCTTTACAAGGTGATCCAGTTAAGATGAGATTAGGATAAACCCTAATCCAATAGGAGCAGGTCCTTCTTAAAAGGGCAAATTTGGACACAAAGAAACACACACAGAGGCAAGATGATGTAAAGACACAGGGAAAACACCATCTACAAGCCAAGGAGCTCTGGAAGCTACCAGAAGTCAGGAG